GGGCGGGTTTTCCGCGCCTCCCCCCGCTCCAGTCACAAGACCCGGGTCACGTGGCGCGACTCCCGGCGGGGGTGCGGCGCAGGGCGGGACCAAACGGCGTCTTAAAGGGGCCGCGGGGCTGCCCCACTGGCCACTTGTTGGCCATGACCCTGTGCATCTTACACTGCGATTTCCCTCACGGCATCTGCGCCCCCTCCAGCCTCCAACCGCGAGGAGGTACCCCCACCCCACCCCCTTCTACACACTAGCCCGCAGACTCTACACTGGGGTCGTGACCTTTATGGTCCTTGACCCTCGGCCCAGCGCTCGGGCCGGTCCCACGCATCTCGCTGGATGGAGACTTCTTGCTAGCTGGGAATCCGACAGCCCAAGCCCACCCACCATGGGACAGGGGCCTGGAGTCAGGGGGGCCTGGAGCCACGACGGCCTGCAGTAAGGCCTTGGCGGCCCTCTGTTTATTTCTGCTCCTGGGCAGAGGGATTCGGTCTCCGCCTTCTGAGCGACCCCGGAGCCCAATCAGGGTACAGCCAGGGTCAGTGGAAGTGCAAACTCCTGCAGGAAATAGTGGGGAGTAGCTAAGTCACGCTCAGCTGGGGTTTATTACTTCGCTTTTCAACATATTACGTAATTTACAGTACTGATTACAAATAACTCCTCCGTTGGGGGCAGAACCCTAAATATTGGACTCCTACTGCTTGACGGGCGCTGCCCCATCGTTGTTCCTCCGCTTTGTTAATCTACACGTCAACCCAGGAGGTACTTTCTTAAATCCCTAAAGAACGGAGATTAAGACTCAAAGAGGGTAAGGGCCCTACACCTGACCAACACCACCACTCTGTCAGGCTCCCTCACACCTAATGCTTAGGGGCTTCGTTATAAGACTTTGAAAGGAAAGGTCTGCAAGCTTGAGGCGTCTCACATTTGTAGCTCCTCTGCACCTCCCAGGACCTTCTGTATCATTTGCCTGCCCACCCCTTCTCAGACGGCTTGCACTTTCACCCAGCTCTGCCACAACCACAGCTCCCCTCAGAGCCCAGCAGGTTTTTAACTTGCCATCACAACCTACTACCAACTGCACGCTAAGGGGAAGCGACAATTCCGCAGAGCTGACTTATATAGAAAGAAGTCCCCACCCCTGGTCCCTGATTGGTCTGTTTTCATGCAAATGAAGACTCTAAATCCTCACAGTGTGATTGGTCTAAAAAGCATTATTCTGATTGGTTGGAATAGAGTTGCTCTGATTGGTTAGTGAAAATGCTAGTGAGACTATAGCTGTGCACCTCTCAATAGCAGGGGAGTCTCAGTCCTAATTTTGATCCTGGAGCATTTTTATAAGGGTCGCTTCAGCTGGGCTGGAAGACAGTGCAGGAGGCTTGGTGGCCCAGTCTGTAGCTTTTCCCTGAAATGCAGCGTGCATGAGGGACCTTTGTAAACAACAGCTGCTAGACTTTGGTTATGAATTTGAGCCCACTTAGCCAGGAGTCCTTTTTGGCAGATATGTTCTTCTCGTGGTCATCACCTTCATATTTATCACGAGTTTAGCCCATCTGTCTTTTATCTCCTGTGTTGGTCATCGTGCTGCCAATGCTGTGGGGAGGAATGTAGGGCAGGCCAGGTAAGGGCCTGGCTAGCATTAAGGGGAGAGCCAGGTCGAGAGTAGAGATGGACTGACAGTGGCCAAGACTTTCAGGGCCAACAAAGGTCCTGGCCTGTAGTGGGGCAGCCATGGGCTCCTCAGAGCACCTGCGAGAGAACCGCAGGGTGAGAGCAGCTGAGAGTGAGACGGCCAGTGAAAACAGGTGCGACCCTATGCCTCATCAGCCAGTCAGGCCTCCCGACACCTGGACAGCGGTGGACACCCATGTGAGGCCCCTGTCCTTCCCTGCCTTGCAGACTGCTAACAAGCAGCGTCAGCTAGCCCAGCCATGTTCTTCCTGTCAGACTAAATGTAAGCTGGCAGCTGTCCTTCAGCTTCATGGCTAATTTTCCCTTCCTCATGGGCCTGTGTTTGCTAATCAGACTCCACAAAATCCGGAGCCTCTGGCTCCCTTCTCGTCCAATAGATTCCCCCCCAGCAGTGCCTCTAGCTTGGAAAACACGGTGTGGCTTGGAGATTTCCCAGCATCACTGACTCAAAGCAGGTCCCTCTCCTCATTCATCCAGCAAGCTGAGTGTGGCCTGCTGTCCCGGGTTCTGCCATGTAAGGCCTGGGGGATAAAGATGACTTAGCAGGGACACAAAAAAGGAGCAGCCTAGACCAAAAAAAAAAACTCACAACGGCAGTGCAGTAAGGCTCGTGCCGTGAGGGCGTTAGAGGTGCCCATCAGCCCTAGGTGCCCTGGGAGTGCCAAGGCAGGAGCCCCACCTGGAAGTCCAGCGGCGACTCGGTCTGAGGGACCAGGGGACAAGCATTCCGGGCAGAGTGAACTACAGTCACCAAGAGCACGCCATAAGCCCACTACCTGCCAAAACTCTGGGTCCCTCAGTGTGGCTGGAGACCTGGGAGCGTCTCCAGGAAGCGGGCGTGGGGCTGGCCAGGGGATGCGGCCCAGATGTTGAGGCGGGATGGCATCCCGTAAGAGCGGAAAGCCAAACTGCGCCGTTTACACCGGGGCGGAGGAAGAGC